GGCCTGCTTCTCCCTCTCCACTCCCCCTGCTTGTGTTCCCTCTCTCGCTGTATCTCTCTCTGTCAAATAAATAAAAATCTTTAAAAAAAAAAAAAGAAAAGAAAACTGTATAGATGTATTGAGAGATTCTTGTATTGAGAGTCAAATGAGATGAGTATAAAAAGCACCTTGTACAGGGCCTGGTACCCAGTTAAGTGCTCAGAAAATTATAGTATCATAGTATCTATAGGAGCATACAATCGGGAGCCCACAGAATGTGCTTAATAAATCTTTTAATAGTAGTTATGTACTGGAGAGAGCATGCATTCAGACTAGCCTGGTATTTGGAACTAACAGCAAAGAAAAACTTGCATCAGAAATTCTACACCAATTAACAACACTCCTTCATGCTAGAGTGAATCCAGGAGAAGTGGGTGTCACATTTTCTCAAAGTGGTGCCTAAGCCAACCTTTCTGCCTTTAACAAGTTAATGAATAGCTTATGAGTAAGCTTTGCCCACCCTGGCCCAATTTAGAAGGCTGCCAATAGGATAGGATGTTGATATGCCACACTCAGCTTTGCTGGGGTCCCAGCTGCATCCTCCCTAAGTGATTCTGCTCCCAGCAGCTGGAGGCTCTGATATCCCTAGAGAAGTGGGCACCAGTGGGATGAGGCTGCAAAGAGGTCCTGGCCTTTCCCCAAGAGAGCCTTGTCTCAGATCTTGTGTGGGGCCTGGTATTCCGAGCAGCCCAGGTTTGGCTTTGGGCCAGGCACTGAGTGGCAAACAAGAAGGAACACATTCCGGGAAGGCAAGGAGCCCTGCCAACACAACGGGGGCCGGGCAAGCTGGGCCTGCTGGGCGCCAGGTGCTCCTTGGCTCTGTGGAGGTCAGGCACTCAGGGAAATGCACTAGAGTTTCTCTGGATTATCGTTTCAGGGGCTTAAACACCTCCCTCCCTCTCACTTCAGGTGGACAAAACAGTGCTAAACCTCTAAACCTGTATCTTCTGCCTTCTGGGTTCTAGCCCCTCATCCCTGAATAACGGTAGGAGAGGAAGGAGTGTTGTGGCCTCCTGAGATCACACTTTGGGGGAGCCAGGTTTCTGTAATTCTGTGCCCTGAGTAAGAGAAGATACTACCGACAGCAAGGGCAGGTCAAGGGGAAACCTGGGATTTCTATGCCCTTGTTGGAAGAGAAGCCGAGCTCCCCACCCTCTCCCTCCTACATCCACCCGTCCCCTCACCCCACACCCCCAAACAACACATGCTGGTTCTTCACACCTGCCAGTTCTGCCTCCCTACTGGCCTGACCTTCAGGTCTGGAGAGCCCTTGGGAAGGCATTCCATTCTGCCCCCCACCAACACCCCTCCCCCCCATGAAAAAAGAGGAAAAGGAGAAGAGAAACAACCAAAGGAGACCGTGGGGAAATAGCCACAGGAGCTTGCCAGAGCTCCCCTTCTGCCACTGGATAGGCAATGCACTGGACTCGGACCAGACCTGGCCCGGTTTCACCCCACAAGGGGACAGCAGCGGGGGCCTTTGACAAAGGAGCATGAAGTCTGGTCCTCGCTGCAGCTCCAACTCCTGCTGGGCTTTGCTGCCACCTAGTGGCCCAGATGGCATCTCTTCCCCCTCAAGGAGACCAGCCTGGAGATCTGGCTTCAGTCCCCGCCTGAGGCAAACCTGAGAGCCTTCTCTGAGAAGCTTCTCTACCCTAGGATGCCCTGCTTCTGCAGCCCCGCAGCTGGGAGAGAGAGGCAGCCCAGGTTCATGACCTCACCCAGCTCGACAGGTGTCCTAATGCCATGGCCACCAGGTAGGCGGGCCAAGGCTGGCCGGCTGAGGGCCAGGGGTAGGGGTGGGGGCAGTCTCTTACTCGCAGGACACCCCTGTGGGTTACGGTTCTGCCAGAGCTCCCCTCATTCCTGAATGCCCTTTTCACCAGAGCTCCTGCTCCTCCAACGACCCTGCCTTGTCTGGCTACACCTGTGTTGTAAAACCCAGGCTCCTGCATTTTATATATATATATATAAATATATATAATATATATATTTATATATATATATAATTCTCCAATTTCTCCAAATTTAAGGCAGTTGCTTCTTCCTTATAAAGTTAGCTCATTTCAACTTTAAAATTATAAAGATTATATGCCCTCTCTGTGATGCTGCTGCTATGAACCAGTCCCTGAGAATAATGGAAAGGGGGTATATTATGTAGATTATCAGCCATATTTTCCTGCATATTACATTCATGTGTTTATTTCATCTAGCAAAAGAAAGCACTTGGTTTCAGCAACCACTGATCCTACAGACTCCAAACTTTCTGATCTGAGCAGCAGTACCCAGGGATTGTATAAAGTCCAAACTCCCTTTTCCTGTCTACCTCTCCAGCCTCTTTGTGTGCGTGTATGTGTGTGTGTGGTAAAATACACATAAAATTTACCGTCTTCGTCATTTTTAAGTGTGTAGTTCCATCGTGTCAAGTATATTCCCATTGTTGTGCAACCATCATCACCGTCTCCAGAACTCTGTTCGTCTTGTAAAACTGAAACTCTATGCCCATTAAACAATAACTCTCGCTTCCCTTCCCCCCAGCCCCTTGCAAACACCACTCTACTTTCTGTCTCTATGAATGTGACCACTCTAGGTACCTCATATAAGTGGAATCATACAGTGTTTGTCTTTTTTTTTCTAAAGATTTATTTATTTATTTGAGAGAGAGAGTGTGTGTGAGCAGGGGGAGGAGCAGAGGGAGAGGGAGAAACAGACTCCCCGCTGAGCACAGAGCCCAATGCAGGGGTTCGATCCCAAGACCCTGCGATCATGACCTGAGTTGAAATCAAGAGACAGTGGCTCAGCTGACTGAGCCACCCAGGTGCCCCAATGTTTGTTTTTTTGTGGCTGGCTTATTTCACTTGACAGAATGTCCTCAAAGTTCATCCATGTTATAGCATGTGTCAGAATTTTCCTCCTTTTTAAGGATGAGTAACATTCCATTGTATGCATATACCACATTTTGTTTATCCATTCATTGGCTAATAGACACCTGACCTGGGTTGCTTCCACCTTTCGGCTATTTTGAGTAATGCTGCTCTGAACGTGGGTGTGCAGATAGATAACTCTTCAAACCCTGCTTTCAGTTCTTTTGGGTATACAGCCAGGAGTGGTATTACTGGATCATATGGTAATTGCCTTTAATTTTTTGAAAAACTGCCGTACTATTTTGCACAGCGGTGGCGACACCATTTTACATTCCCACCTGCAGTGCATAAGGGCTCCAATTTCCCCACATCCTCACCAACACTTGTTTTCTGTTTGAGAGTAGCCGTCCTAATGTGTGTGAAGTGGTGCCTGATTGTGGTTCTGATTTCCCTAATGACCAGTGATGTTGAGCATTTTTTCATGTGCCTGTCGGCCATTTATATCTCTTCTTCGGAGAAATGTCCATTCAAGTTCCTTACCCATTTTTTAATTGGTTGTATATGTTGTTGGTGTTGACCTCTCCAACCTCTTTCCACGTCACTCTTCCACCTCATCAGTATCCTAGCGTCATGCAGAGTCTCTCTGTGCAGAAGAGACATATGCGTTCTCTCCTACGTTTTGCAGTTACTGATCCATTTGCCACGAAATGCTCCTCCCGTGGCTGGTTCCTCATCCTTTAACGTCAATCTAAAAGTCACTTCAGAGAACCTTTCCTGACTGACCACCCATCTACAGCCAACTCCCCATTTACTCTCATATCACCGTTTCTCCCCTTCATGGAATCTAATCACAATCTGCACTTACCTTGCTTGTTTACATATTTACTTGGAACTTATGTTTACATGGTGTGTAAGTGCCATGGGGACCCAGAGATACTGCCTGTCGTGTTCACTGCTGTATCTCCAGTGCCCCGCAGAGTACCTGGCTCGTGCTCTGGGCTCAGGATTTGCTGAATGAATGAATCACTACTAGAAGGGGCATCCTAGGGAAAAAGAAAGGTAACGTGACGCAAATTGGAACTTCACCTCCCTAATCTAGGCTCGATGTCATAGAAAAGGACACAGAGATTTTCTGGCTCGGAGTTCCGGACTTGAATTCCTGAGTCAGAAGCACAGTACCATTTGAACCTGGGACGTTGCTTTGGAGCTGCCCAAGAGAAATAGGGAAGCCTTCTCGGTGTCCCCCCAGCAGAGGCAGGAGGCTGCGGAGGTTTCCTGTGGCTGCTCTTCGCCTTCCCAGTATGCCTGAAGTATGAGGCGGCTCGGCTACAGCCCTGTGAGATTTGCAGAGTACTCGAGATTCTGGGGATGACTTGGGCCCCGTCAGTCTCCTTAGTGCCAAATATGTTAACACGAAGACCTTTTGTGAGTCGTCAAAAGATAAAAATGAACTTTCCATACCACAGGATACTAGAAAAAATTGAATGTTTATATTTTAAAATATTTTCAAAGGCTACTGCCATGCCAGAACAACCCAAGGATAGTTGAACCAATCTCTCAGGGACTCAAAGGGACTCAGCCAGTGCAAGCAGGTCTGTATAAATACACATAGTTTACAAATGAGCACAAGGGAAAGGACAGTGGCCCCACAGGACCAGGCTGAGGAACAAAAGGGAGAAATGGACAGGGGGCCCTCCAGAGTGACAGGCACACTCATACCCAAGAGGACCTCCAGAGCCACCTCCCCTATAGCATGCCTCTTGCCTTTTCTGAGCCCGGGGCATGGCTGGAGACCAGATTCACCAGCATGTTGGCACAGCTACCCATGACTTGGCACCTCTGTTGGCCTCTCATGAGCCTCTGGCTCAACCTAGCAGGACTCAGAGAATGGACCTATTCTCCCTGCCCTTCAGCAAGGACCAAGGCGGGGAGACACTGGGCAAGTGGGACTATTTCCCTGAAAACGTGATATAAAGGAGTGATGAAGGGGGCTGGTTCCAAAAGAAGGATGGGTGTTTATCCAGTGTGGTGCTGTGGGGAGAACGGAATATGAGTTCACCTGACACCCCCAGAGGTGGTACCAGCAACCCCCCAGGCAGGCTCCAAGCTTAATCCTAGAACCTGCAGCGGGGGGAGGATAAGGAGACCGCTCGTCTGAGCTTAGGGACTTCTCACCTACAAATCCGTCCCCCACATCCTCATTTGGGTTTGTCATAAACAGGACAATCATGGCTCCACAATAACTAATTTCCACTTGGATTTCTCCCTGATTAACCTCTCAGGTGTTTGAAGAAGGAAAAGCAGTGACTGTTTCTGACACACTCACCCCATCACCAGTGACTCTGCCTGATACATCTGACCTCCTCACGAAGGCCCTTCTAGAACCCCCAAAGGCACTGTCTTGGCATATTGGAGTCCCAGGGAGAGCAGGCAGAGTTCTGAGGCACAGAGGAGCTGTTTAGAATAGAGAGGGCCTTGGAGAGATGGAGAACTCTCTAAGGCAAAGCTACCACTGTGTCCACTCTTCCCATCCCCCACCTCTCTTGTCCCCAGAGGTATCAGACAAAACCCCTTGACCTGGTCCCTGCACTGTACCAGGCCCACCTTGGACACCCCCACCTTATTCATGGAGTGGAGGACCCTCCCCCATGGCCTGCAACTCACTGATCCCAAGTGACACGAGTGAGCTCTGCCCTGCGGTGGCCCAACACCCTCATGCCCAGCTGCCCAGTTGCCCAGCCACGCCTCCCCAACAGGCTGCTGTTGGTCATGGCCTCTCAGGCAGTCAGGCAGGGAGTACAAAGCCAGCTCGAATCGAAGCCACCGACCTTCCCCGCCCCCCCCATCCTCTACTTCCCGCCTGGGGCACCTCAGAACTGTTTGAGCACACCCGGGGAAGATGCAGTACCAGGTCTGTGACCACAGTGATCACAGGCCCTGTTCCACCTGTCTCACCAGGAAGTGGCAGCTAAGGACACAGAACACTGGACCTCGGCCCTCCTTCGCAGCCCCTGCCACGTCCTCTGCTACAAGTATTGTCCTCCGGATTCAGCCAGCCTCCTCGTGAGGGGCATGAACCTTCCCCTCTGGCTGGAATCCTAGCTACACACCCTCCTCTCGTTGTTCCTAGCTCCCCCCCACCCCACTTCCCCTGTCTGCCCTGGGCCTGACAGGTGACCCCAGGACAGGGACTCTCGGGGGCCCCAGTGAGGGCACAGTATGTTGGGAGAGAGCAGAGGCCCACTGGTGGTTTTCGTCCGGGCCTCTGTCCCACTACTGCCGCGAGCCGCGTGGCCGTGGAGAGCTGCATTCCAGGTACCAAATCGTGGCCTTTGTCCCTTGGTTGGTTCCTAGTGCTCTGCCTCTGTGCCAGACCGTTTCCAAGGAACAAGCTAACTTTCTTTTTCCAAGGGCTTGCTGAAGCTTAGTATACAGAATTTCTCGGCTGGTTCCAAGAATCTGGCTTCGTGTCTGAGTCCCCAAATTGTAGGAGCTTTGTCAACAGCAGGGATAAGAGTTGAGGGGAGGAGGAAGGATCTGGAGTATTTTCCTTCATATTCAGTCTCAGCACAGCAACAGCATAAACCACGGGGGTCACTGGTGGAAGCTTAGCACCCAGAGCATTCTTCTTGGAGAAGCCAAGGTGGTTGTTACCTGCACACAGGAGATCCCCAGATCAGAGAAGGGGCCTTACCCTGCACACTGTGTCCAACCTTGCTTGCCAGATTGAGCTGTCAAGCCAGCCCAAGGGCAGGGCCAAGCCCAACCAGGACAACAAGCAGCCTGGCCATAGGTATTGGCTCCTGTCCTTTACCTTCAATCCCCGAGGCACTGGGAAGAGACAGGACATCACCTGTGCCCAGGGACTGGGCCATCCCAATTCAGGGAGCATAACTGCTGTTCTAGCCGGGAGATGCGGAACGCCAGATAGGATGAGGACATGACCAAGAAGCAGATCCTGGAGAAAGAGAGATAAGAAGGATATCTATCTGGAAAAAGGACATTTTTGGAGGCTCACCAAAAATAGGAGTGGGGACAAAGCTACTTCCTGCAACTGGAGGAATTGAAGAACTCTTTGCCTCTCGGCTACATTCAGGCCTGGACATCTTTGTTCCCAGAGGCCATGTGGGGGTCCTGAGACTTGTCCCCATGGAGGTGTCTTCAAAGCCCCGCAGGAATTCTGGGTCCTTAAACTGAGCCCACCTTCCCTCTGACCAGCCACCTTGGTCCTGTGCCTCCTCTTCAAGGCCGTTAAGATTATCCCCCGAGGTGGTACGTCCCTTCTCCCAGCAAGTGCTGAGGCTGACAGTTGGAACTCAGCCAGCAGAACCAGAGGAAGATCATGAGGTAAGGTGAGGGGAAGCCAGGGGCCCCACCATGCTCACCACTCGGCTGGTCCTTAGGCAGAATTACAGACAAGTCTGGGGTTCCAAAAACTACTCTAAAGGTGGGTGGCAGGAAGGCCACGGCTCTCCCCTAGTCTATCTGATGGCCCTCTCCAATTTTGTCAGCTGTCCCCCTCCCCAATTCCATGCAACTTTCCCTTTTTTCAATAGCTTCATATCCTGCCCCTCCCTTCTGCACAGCCTTAACCCTAAATTACAGGGGTGCATGAATAAAGACTGGAGGCACTTTGTCTTGCTGCAGAAGGGCCTGCCAGGTAGCCTCCAGACACCACTCAGGAGCCTTCAGTTGACTTAGGACCTTGCCCTCACTCTGGACAGTGACCGCCCCACACACAGAGGCCCCTGCGCCAAACAGCCAGATGCCCAATATAGTCACCTACAGCACAAAGATGACCTTGAGGAGCTGGTAATCCCAGAGCCTCAGCTCCCCGTCGCTCCTGGGCTCTTCCTCCAGCTTCTCCTCCTCACAGACGGCCTTCTCTGTGATAGGAGAGCAGTTAGGCGTCGTCCTGCGGCAGGAGCCCAGCCCAGCAAGGAGCAAGCCCACCTCCCCCCATTCTCAAGCTGCTTAGGCTCTGGGCTTGGCTTTTCCTTATAGATTTGGATAAAGTACGAAACAGCTCTCAGAAGCCTTGCTGGCTGTGATTTTTCCATTTTGCAGAAGTGGGGGCAGGGAAAGCCTGGTCTTTGCAAGCAGTTGTCACAGACGAGCACCCTGAGCTCACCAGACCCGGGAGGCTTCCTGGAGGGAAAGAAGTTGTCCGTGGAGTCCATGGATGCCCGAGGTATACAAGGGATGTTGTCTGGGAGGGACAGGGACCTGGAGGCAGGGCACACTTTTCTCCACTTCATCTCAGGGATGAGGAATTCCTGCAGAGAAGGCAGGAAAAACTGTCTCTCTATGACCCTGGGATGTCACTTGTCCTAAGGGGCCCACACTAGGTTTATCAAAGCTTTTCCAGGTACTACCAGTACGGATACCCAGTGAGCATGATGGCAGGTACCCAGGAGGAGGGGAGCCATTGCCTTAGCAACCACGTGTCTCTCTTACCTGCTCCCTTGCTGGGACCAGCCATTCTTCCAGGGAACAATGTCTTTGAAGACTGCTACTATAGAACCACAGTGGGATCCAAGACGTGAGCTAACCCAGGTACGTGCTCAGATCCGCTGAGCCCAAGAAAGCTTGGCACAATGTATCTTAGATGGGATAAGTCCTCCTAATCTGGACTCTGACCCTAAGTACACCACTGACCTTAGCAGGGGGTACTTAGGGTCCCCATCAACAAAAATGGGCACAGCACCTTCTATCCCCTGCATAGTACTGTGCATATTATATGCTTGGCTAAACGCTTAGTGGTTAGTGAAGGAGACTTCAAACACCCTGGGGTCATTTCCATCCCCATCACTGTTCTAGCACTCAGCTCTGCCTACCCAGAACCCCCGCAGCAAAGGAAACTGCTGGGACCTCGGCATCTCAAATGAGTCTGTCTGAGTTCTACAGTGATAGCCTTTGGAGTTCTTCCCCGAAGACATCTCTATCCCCTGGAAGGCCCTGCTGACCCTGCTAAAGAAAAGAGGAGGGTCACTGGCTCTGTGGCTGTACAGATGTGGGATCCAACCCGGGCAGCGTTCTGGGGGCTGGACAACTGTTCTGCTCAGAAAGTCAGCAGATCTGCCCAGGACATAGTGGCTCCGCATGGCACGGAGCGTGTCAGGTCTAGGGGACCCCTTGGCATAGCATGGCCACTGGCTCTTGAGCCTGGAAGGGGACAAGGGGACATTGTGGGCTGCTGCCTGGGAGGCCCTAAAGCCTCAGAGCCATAGGTTCCCTCACACCGGCAGCTTTTGCTTCCAACCTCAGTTCTCACCAGGGATTCGCACTCAGGTTCCTCTGGAAATTCTCTTACGCTCAGGCTCTTCTTGCTGGAAGGCTAAGGAAGAAAGGAAACTGGGGTCACTTGTCCATCAGGAACAGCCAAGGTCAGGAGTGAGGAGGTGTCAGCACTCTCCAAGAGAGCTTTACCTCCAAATAAGCCACCTTGGGTCAGAGGAAGCCTAGCTCCCAGAGTTTGCCGGAGTCCCCTAGTCAGTGCTGGAGCAGAGGGTAAATGACTGCCGCCCCTCCCCACTTCCTCGGCCAAAGAGAGCTGTAGGCATACTGGGAAGCAGCCACGTGCTTCTGTCTGCACACTGAAGAAGCATGATGAGAGCATACACATGGGGACACACAGCGGACACTGGCCTCAAAGAGACACGCTCATAAGCATAGACACCCCGCCCAAGGACTAAGCTCGGATACACTGAGCCTGAGCCCATTACTCGCCTCTCCCTGCTCTTGGTCCCTGTGCTGGAGAGATGGGCCAACCTCTCCCAACAGCCTGGTCCCAAGACCTCAGTCTAGGCCTGAGCAACTGCCCTGGCCCAACTACTGCCCCGGAGCTCCATACCTGGAGGTGTGTGCAGACCCTCCTCAGCATGTCATATACACTGTCCCGGGAAAGCAGTGACACAAAGACGTACTGGGATAGAGAAAGAAAACAGAAAAGGGTGGTGTAAATACAGACTGGGGAGAGTACCAGAGTCAGGATCCTGGGGCTGGGACAGGAGACTTACAAGGGATGGCCGGTCCAGAGACTAACTGACCTTCTGGCTGGTGTTGGTGGTGATGGCCAGGCCATTGGGAAGAAGCCGCGCCATCTTGTGTTTTTTGATCATTTGGACAGACACCACGGGAATGACCACCTGAGGGAGGAGAGGCATGCTTCTCTCAGGACTCACCCCCAAGGACACAGTCCCTTTGCTTCCTGCTTAGTGCCCCCTGACTGGCAGTCAGCCAAGCATGGACACCATGGAGAAGCCTGGCCCTAGGTGGGAGAATATGTGAGCGTTCCACCCTCTGATGCAGGCTCCCCTTCCAGGTGTCCCACCACCCTGCCCCTGCCCTCTGGGCTCTCACCCTATTATCCAGGAGGCCAAGGATGGTTGCCCTGGTGAATCCCATACTCCAGTAATGGAGTTCCCTGAGCCATCACCTGGCCACAATTATGGCTCCCCCAAAGTGTGACATGCCACTCTGATTCTGAAGGCATTTCAGAGGCACCCATAGGCAGAATAAACTGGCTATGACCTGTTGTAGACTCTGTGGAGTCTAGATCGGAGCCCTGCTTTGGAAGGGGTGAAGCTACTTCCCTGGAGACCAGGCGGGATGCCTCACAGTGAGAGGCTTCACCAGGTGCCTGATACCCGCAGGATAGGGGCCCTGTCTCTTTCCCGGCTGGGGCCTCATGGGCCCATTGCAGCCCTTACCACTTATTACTACCTTTATATCCTTGCCAAAGAGGCTGGCATGGAAGCAGAGCCAGTTGGGGGAGATGTAGAGCCGGCCCTGGAGAAGGAGGTCTCTCTGGAGGGCGCAGGAACACACTGGGAATTCACAGGAAAGAAGACTGCCATGAGCAACCCCGAAGGCCTAGGGCCTGCGTCCTCACACTCAGGAGTCCAGAGCCCAGCCTCAGGGACTGCCGTGCTCAGAATCCCCCTTCCCAACCCCAGGCCCCAAACCACCCATTCCACCAGCACCCTGAGTCCTTCTCAAGAGTCCTGACTGCCCCACCTGAGCCCACCAAACTGCTAGAGCTTTCCTCTTCCTCTACTCATGCTTCAAAGGGTTCCCTAAGCCTGGATTCTCGCTCCCTCAGGCAGAACACCTTGCCCTGCCCTGGAGAGAGGGCCTCGATTGTGCAAATGCTCCCACATGCTCACTGAGAAGCCTGAGCAGGAAAGAACAGTCATGGATAAGAACAGAACAGAAATAAAATTTGGAAGCCCTGACAGTGCCCCAAGAATACTTTCATAAATCCCATTTCAGATCCCCCATCTGCCCGGTCTTCTCAGACTTCTAAAGAAAACAGGCCCAACCACATGCAAAGGGCAGCCAGTTCCCATATCAAAATTGTGCCTTGGAGGCTCCAGAGGAGAGGACCTGGGCCTCAGGCACTCTAGGCACCTGTCCAGGCACACCTGGGAGACAGCTCACCTTTGAGAACTACCTCCTCCAAGGGAATGTCCTTAAACAGCTTGTGGTATTGTTGGTTGTATTTACTCAGTAGCGTCTGCAAACACACAAGCTGGGGCTGAGAAGTCCTGGGGGATTAGATCCCCAAAGGGGCCCTGCACCAGCCACCAGGAAATAATGCCATGGGGGCAGGGGCTCCGGGGACTTAGCGCCAAGCAGTCGGCAAAGAGCCAGCGTGGGTGAAAGGCTGAGTCCCAAGCACAGCTTGTCTCTCGGTGACACGACGACAGGAGGTCCTGACGGGCAGCCTATGACGGGAGGGGGACGCACCACCCCCACCCAGGAGGGGACACTCACTCAGGTTTCCCTTGGTGACAGGCCTTGGCGGCCAAGGAGCCAACAGTCCCTGAATTCAGGCAGCCCAGAGCCCCTCCCTTGGTGGGCAGTGAAAAGGCAGCCTCCACACACTTACCCCTTCTTGGCCACACTTCTTTATCTCTTCACCCTTCAAGCCTTCTGGCCAGTGCAGACTGCAAAAGAGATTCCATTCCAGGGACAAGGAACCCTTGAGTCCTGCCCATACATCCTTAGTGCCAGGTCTGCCCTGGCTTCAAGCCAGAAGCTTGGGGGAGAGATTGAAGACTGAGGCCCTTCTCTAGGAGCCACAGCAAGGTGATAAGCAACAGGGAGGACGGAGCTCAGCCCTGGGGAAGGGCACTCCTGCACGCTGGGGGCCTTCCTCCCAGACAGCAGTGGGCAGCGGGCCCCCCAGGAGGTATGATCCGCCTGAGCCTCCATCTCCCATCTCCCAGAGATGCTTAGGAGCTGCCCACCCCTGGGTATCAAAAACCCTCTCCCACTTCTCTGGCCAAAGGATAAGCAGAGGAGCAGACCCAAGGATAGGGGAGCAGGAGACACAGGGATGGGGACCAGTTTGGGGAGCGGGTGAGGTGGAGATGTCAGACTCACGGCTCCGGGGCCTGGCCGTGGGCCATGATCCGGGCAGGACTGCCCTCCTTGCAGCCTCCTCCCTCCCGGCAGCCTGGAGCTCAGCAGACTCACCTGACCTGAGGGAGGCTACCAAGGCTGAGGGAGAGGGGGTGGTGCTGGAACGCAAAGCTTCGCCCTGGCCAGGTTGGCCTGAGGACAGGTGGGCAGGGAGGAGGCTGGTAATCTGAGAAGCCTAGACTCTGCTAGGTCCCCGTGTGCTGGGACAGGCCCCGGACTGGGAAGAAGAGGCACGGGGCAGCCTATGCCCCGCCTAACACCAGACGCAAGGTCCCCTCTCTGCCCCTTCTTTAACCCCTTTGCCCCTTTCTTTTTTTATTTTTTATTTAAACGCCAGCCAGTTAACATACAGTGCAATATTAATTTCAGGCGTACAATAAAGTGATTCAATACCTCCATACATCACCCTCATCACAAGCGCAGTCCTTCATCCCCATCACCCATGTCACCCATCCCCCCAACCACCTCCCCGCTAGTGCCCATCAGTGTGTTCTCTAGAGTTCAGAGTCTGTTTCTTGGTTTGTCCCTCTCTCTCTCCTCTTCTCCCCTCTGCTCGTTTGATTTGTCTCTTAAATTCCACATATGAGTGAAGTCATACGGTATTTGTCTTTCTCGGACTTAATTTCACTTAGCGTAATACTCTCTAGCTCCAACCATGTCGTTGCAAATGGCAATATTTCATTCTTTTTTATTTGCCCCTTTCTTTAAGGTCCTCCTGAGGGCTTCCCACCCCTAATCTGTAGGTATCGCTGACCGGGAGGGGCCTCACCTGGAGTCCAGGGGTGCCTGAACCCTGGCTAGTTTCTCTGAGCAGGACACGGGGCTCTTCAGAGAAGCCGTCTTTCCATGCATCTGTTGGTTGCTGCACAGAAACAGGCCCACATCAGGAAGGGTGGCTCTGGGGGAGCACCTTTCCCTAGCAGCTTCACACGCCCAGGCCAGCTCCTCTGCCTGCACCCCAGACGGGCCCTGCTATTCAGGCGGAGGCTGAAGATGTGACCGGTCAGAGGCAGCAGCTCAGGCAGGAGTGCTCTGGTTCCTGACAGAGGGGGCAATCTCATGCCGCATTTTCTGGAAGCCTGCAGGTCAGTTTATGCCCAGACCGGAAGGAAAATCAGCCTACCTTAGTGGGGCCCACCCGGCCCACCCTTGAGAAAGCACAGTGGGAAGGACTCTAAGACTTGCTCACGGCTGACAGTAGAAGTTCCTGAGGTGCCTGGGTGGCATTCCCATAAGCCATCGGGATCTGAGGAAGGATGCTGAGCACAGGAGGCCGAAGCAGAGCTGAGGAACTGGTGCAGTGACGGTGTGTGTTGGGGGCGGGGGGGGCTCCAGTCAGCCCACAGGTAACCATGGGCTGGCAGGGGAGGAGCGGCCCCGCACCAGGAGGTGGCCTGGTGGCCTTCGGACAGTCAGGGCACCTTGGCCCTGAGAGCCAAGCCGTCTCAAAAATGTCGCAGAGAGGGAGCCCTGGAGGGAGGAGCCGCCATCTCCCTGGGCAGGTGGGGCTCCCCAGTGGCTTTTGAGTTCATGCCTCCCCTAAACAGCTCCAAAGCATAGGGTCCCCCCTTCCTGCCCCTCCAGGAGACAGGCTAGGAATCAGTAAAACCTGAGCAGCCCGACTCACCCCCAAAAGAGTGGGCCCAGAAGCTGACAGGAAGAGAGGGTGGCCAAGAAGCAGGGCCAAGGCAGGCCGCCGCAGTGGTCGCAAACAGGCTACAAGGTCCTGGGCAGATAAGGAGCTGGAACCTGAGGCCTGCAAATACCAGTCCGCAGTCCCTCTCAACTCTCACTGGGGTGAGTCAAAGTTCTCTTCTTCAAGAACAGAGTTGCCTACTCAGCTGAGATCTGCCAAGATCAGAGATGATTTAGTCTGACCCCCTACCATGCTGTGTACACAGTAGGAAACAGACCAGGCAAGGGACCGGCTGGACCCAGTATCACACAGTGAAGAGCCAGGTGACCTCACCCCACAAAATCAGCCCATCCACAGCCCTGTGGCCTGGTGACCTCTGTCCTTGCCCTTATGGAGAATTTTGGTGCACACATCAACATGTTTCCTGAATCTTGCAAAGCAACAAGTTTTGCTAGTGATTTGACCCTTTTGACCCCCAAAGGTAATTTCTAGATTTATTTCGTTCCATCATTTCACATTTCAAGAGGGTTTTCCCTCCCCCTCTTGATTTTTATTATGCTCATTATAGAAAATATGAAAAAGATAAAACCTATAAATATGATGATCAAAATACCCCAGAAGGAAAAAAATTCTTCAAAAATCACCCAAAGAAAAGGTTTATGCATAAATATAGAATTTATGGGAGTGGAATTATGCATTATAATACGTAGGTCTTACTTTTGTTGCTTAACATGATCTCATGAGGAATTCCCCGTGTCCCTGTCCATGGCTGAGACAGATTCTCAGAAGTGTGATTCGTGGGTGGAGAATGCATATTTCTCAGGCTCTTTAGACCCACTCCAAACTGCTTCCAGATGCTCTGCTGGTGACCACGAGCATCAGCGCTACGTGAGGGCGCCCGTTTCTCAACACCGAGGCCTTACCCTGGCTATTCAAATTTGGTACGTGAAAACATGCTATTTTCATTTCTATTTCTGCTTATGGAGGGGTTGAACGAGTTTTCCCATGTAGGCATATGAACCCCTGGAACTTCCACCTGTGAATTGTCTATGAGGATCTCCACGTTTGTCTTATTGATTTGTATTAAATGCTTTTTCAAGAACATTAATCCTTAGTTTATCATGTTTGTAAACATCTCCCCCAGTGTGTCATTTGCCTTTAGTTTTGCCTGTGGTTTTGTTCCATTTTTGTGTGGTAGATTCCTTCCACATCTTCCATCTCTTGGTTCCCCACTTGGCTTGCATGCTTTGGTTGGAGAGGCCCCCAACGCAGAGCGTGCACAAGTCAAACCACTGAGCTTGGACCCTGCAGCCTGTGAGCTTTCCTGGGCCACCAGGAAAGAGAAGGGTGTGGGGCCCGCTCGAAGGAACACACTCTTAACCTGGAGGACCAGGGATAGAGTGAGACCTCCAAGCAGAACCTTGGCCATGGTCTCAGCGGCAGGGAGCCTGTCACTCAGGCACTGGAAAGGGTGATTGGAGGTGTCAGGGCCGTAGGAGCTCAGAGAGCAGACAGAGCGAGAGTCACAGAAGGGCTCCCAGAGAAAAGGAAGCCGAACCTTACCGGCTGGGTAGGACTATCGCCCTGCATAGGTTCCCATAATCTAACTTTGCGTTCATAATCATGCCTGTGCGGGGATCCTAGACCGAACTCATCCTTAGGTCCGGCGTGACTTTCTCCAGGAGAGGGGAGCCTGCCCTCCACCCTCCCCCGGCCTAGTGAGGAGCCCCCGTGGCAGACACTCACAGCACCCCAATCCCTGCCTCCCTCTGGGCACTTGTCACACCGGGTCGGTGCCTAAACTGCTCACCTCCGGGGGCTCCAGCATGGCAGGGACCCCGCCTCCTCCCTCACCAAAGGCCCTGAGCTGGGGGCAGAGCCAGCGTGCAGCAGGCACACACGACCCGTTTGAGGAATGACCCTGTGGGGACAGGAAGCGAGGCTGGAGGAGGGACAGACCGTGAGAAAAACAAAAGAAGGCTCTGCACATTCCCCACAGCATCTCCAGGAAGATTAGAACGGGGGTAAAACACAGTGACTGGGAGCAAATGGCTTTCCAATATCCTTAAACTTAAAAGCAACCCCTTTACGCATGATGAACAGGATGGTTACAAGCCATTCCGACCTGTCCATCTGTGAAGGCCAGTCCCTCCTGGCCGGCCTCCTAATGTTCCTGCTACAGAGACCCCGCCTGGGGCCCCAAGGTACTGCTTTCAAAATGATCAAGTCAGACTTTCCACCAGTCTTCTCCCCTACAGTGTTTAGATGAGTAAAAATAAAGACACGGGAGCGAAGTCGGATGCACAGGTAGGCCTGGGGCAGAGTGGTCACCACAGAACCAGTCAGGAGGGGAGCCCCCAAAGACCCACTGGGCCCTGCCACAGAAGGCCAGGAAGGGGGCTTCAAGAGCAGGAAGCTGGAGAATGGGGGGGCCAGCCTGGGCCCCCCCTACCATGCTGGCGGCCTCTGTGCATTCCCACACAGACCTCCTCAAGCCAGTTGCTCTGTGTGTTGTGAACGACACCCCCGGCCCATCCAGTCCCACCCACCTCCACACTGTGGGGTAAGATCAGAAGTCCTCAAATCTGTGTCTGTTTTTTCACTCAAAGCCCCCCACCCCAAAATATCATTATTGTAATCAAGGGGAGGCCCAATACTTTGGACATTAGAGAGGGTAGAAGAGGTTGGGGAAGGCCCCGATGGGGCCCTTTCACCCTGCTGAGCCTGGTCCCAGGGCAGGATGCCTCTCCAGAGGACGCAGCAGGAACTTGACCCGCCCGTAAGCCTGCCTCCATTCCCTCCACAAATATTGAGCTTATCGTGCCATGAGCCCAGCGTGGGGCCTGCCACTCAGGGCAGCTGAAAGGGCAGGGATGGGCAGCTAGCAGATCCGGGGAGATGTCAGGAGAGGAGCCAGGCCAGTCAAGAAAGGGGAGCCACAGAGAGAGTAGGGGAGGAAGAGAGAGACAATGAGGAGGGCATCCAGAGGTGCCAGAGTTGAGCTGCGTCCTCCAAACTCCAGGCTTCACAGGACACCTGCCATGTGCACTCCACTCTCGATGTTTCCCAGGCTCAAAATACTCCCACTAGGCGGGCACTCCCAAATCTAAATCTCTAACCTGACACCCCCTCTCCTCCTGAGCTTCAGCCCGCCATCAGGATGCATCCAGCAAGGCGCGCTCGGTGTATCCCCCCAGATCTGCTTCCTTCCGAGCACCCAACATCCCTGAAAGGTTCCTCCTGCCACAGCGGCCCCAGCCAGAATCCGTAGCTCTCTCCTCCCCATCCCCACGACCAATCGATCCCCAAGGCCCCAAGAGCCCTACCACCGCTTAACCCACGACACCATCCACCTTCTCCACTCCTGCTGCGCGGGCCAGCCGCATCACCACCGTCGTTTCCGCGGATGCAGGCGACAAGCTTCCTCACGTGCCTGGCCCTCTCCGCACCTTGCACAGCCAACAGAGCCACCTGGGGCCCAGAGCCGATCCCGCTGCTCTGCTGCTGGTGTTCCTTCTTGAGTTCCCTCTCGCCACCTCTGCAGGCCTTCCTGAGCATGCTTCCCTTCCCAGGCTCCCCCACAAGGCTCCCCTGAGCCCCAGCTTCCTTGCTGCAGTCGCCCTCCCCAGGGGCTCGTCCTCCGCACCGTCCTCCGCACCTGGAATTCCTCTCCACGCACATCCACCTGGGGAATTCCGCTCATCTTTAGAGCCCCAGTTCAAATGTCACCTCCTCTGTGAAGCCTTCCCTGGTTTCCCCCCTGCAGAGCTGGTCAGTACCTCTTCTGCGGTCCCTCATCCCCTCCGTCATGCTGTCGCCCCAGCACTTACCACACCAGACTGTGCTTGTCTGTCTACACATCCGTCTGCCCCCAGTCGACTCTGAGCTCCACCAGGGGTGTGTCTCATCCATCCCTGTATCCCCAGCACACAGCAGGCACCCAGTGTTTGCTACCGCGAAGGAAGGAGACAGAGAAAGAGAGATGGTGACACTCCCAGAGCGGGGAGGGCAGGACAAAGCCAGGCAGCAGGAGGGAACGGCATGGAGGACGGAGCCCATGGGGCCCCTGCAGGTGGATGGAGCAGGCGTCAGCACCAGCCCAGCACTGCCAGGCACCCAGTCCATCCTGGCTGACTGACCAAACGGGGAGCTCAAGTGGGAGGCAGAAGACATAAGAAAAAGGAGAAAGTGGCTCAGACGGGATGGGATGGATGTGGTATTTGGGGCCCTCCTGCCTTCCCTGCACTGTCCACTGAAGGGCATGCCCCTGGGCTGTCCTGTGCCCAGGCAACACTCCTCCAGCTTACCCAGCCCCCTTGTCTACACTCAACCCTTCATAGCCCCAGGGCAAACCTCCCCCTCCCCGGGGCTCCTCCAAGCCATACCCCAGCCACGCTGAAGCAGAAAGCCAGGCCTAGCAGCCTGAGCCAGCCAGGCCTCCAGGGTCGCAGGCAGGTCCCCTGGGGCAACTTGGGGGCCTCCCAAGTTGACTTCTCCTGGGCATTCAAGATACTAGAGCATCCTGGGGGACCTGCCAGCCCTTCTCAAGACCAGGCCCAGCGACAGTTTCTCCCCTTCGGCAGCCAGCTAGGACCCTGGGCCCCGGGGACCTCCAAGTAGAGCCCTCTTCCAAACAAAAAAACCACACCTTAGCACCACGTCCCTGAAAGCACAAAACTCACAGGCCACCAAGGTGGCCCACCTCCACCTCAGCACACAGCGCACCACCTCCTTCACGGAGGAGAGAGACCGTCCCGTCAACTCTTATGTGCAGCCTGCTGGCTACACGTGAGCATCACATGGAGAGCTTCTCCAAAAAGCAAACAAAAAAATGATGCCTGAGCCCTGTCTCACACCAATTAAATCAGAGCCTCTCGGGGGAGCCGCTAGGTAACTATATATTTTCAACTTCTTAGTAAAGAGTAATTTGCATACAGAAAAGCACACATAAAATAAGTGTACAATTCAGTGCATCTCACAAATAGAACACAGGTGGAAACCAGCCCCCAGAAAACCCCCACCCTGCTCCTTCCAGTCTCATCCCCTCCCCCGAAACCCACAAGGATGACCGTCATCCGGGCTTCCACGACACACGTGGTCTCTGCCTCTCCGGGCTTTCTGTGAATGGAATCGTACCACACATACTCTTTTATGTGGCTTCCTTTACTCAGCAATGCATTTGGGGGATCCGTCCACGGTGTTGTGTGTAGCTGTAAACTGTGCATTTCCACTAGTGTTTAGTATCCCATTACACGGACATACTGCAGCTGATTTATTCATTTGACTCTAGATGGGCATCTGGGCAGTTTTCCAGTTTTTGCCTGTTGCGAAGGTGTGGTCAAGAACATTCCAGTACCTGTCGTGTGGACACAAGTATTCATTTCTATGGGTAAACACTTAGGATTGGAACTGGTGAGTCAGATGTTCAGTTTCGGGCTTTTCAAGGCTCTCAGGTGATTTGAAACATGCAACCAGTGTAAAGAAACCACTGGATGAATCTCACCCCCACGTCTCTCCTTCCTTTGGGGCTCAGAGGGAGAAGCATACCTCCCCTGGAATCCAGGTGGAATCCCCCCCCCACCCCGGGCTCTGAATCTAGGGCCCTGCCCCTCTAGAGTTCCAGGAACACCCTCGGCAAGACAGGAACCACATTGTTCATAGAGATTTCCTTCATCTGTTCAGGTCACAGAGCACATTTACAGGTCACGCCAGGGAAGCAAGGGCAGCTTTCTGTGCAGCAGAGGTTGGCTCTGTGTCCTTCCTGAGAGCCTCCCTACGTCCCTCCCAGGGCCACAGTCCTGACACATAGCCCAGACACCGGCTGACAAGACCTCTGCCAAAGGGAAACTGGCATAATGTTGATAAAGTCAGGCTGATCATCAGTACTCTAAAACCTGAAGAGAAAAAGCGATCTTCTTTTGCAAAAATAATCCTAGTATTTCTTACACAGAAACTGCACCTCACTTTATTTTCGAAGCTGATGTTCCTTATCTAGGACAACTGCTTTGCTGTTTCTGCTGCCCAGAAAAGGGGAGAAAAGCCCACAGCTGAAGTCCATCCTGAGTGTATGGGGGTGGGGCTCGGTGCGTTGGGGGCCACACGCTGGGTGCCCCCCATCCAGCTGTCCGGCTCAGCAGCCCCGGCAAAGGGCTCAGCAGGGGCAGGTGCTCAGCGCAGCTATGAACCCTACATCCCAGGAGGTCTGAGAACACCTGAGCCAGGGATGTGCTTAGCTCCCTCTGACGACCTGGGGCAGCTTTGAAATGAGTGGGAAGGTGGAAGGCCAGGTGCCCTGCTTCCCAAGACGTCAGAGTCTGGACCCAATGACCCTGGCCGCCACTGGCAGAACCACAGGTGCTTCAGACCCGCATAGGGCCATCTGCAAGCTGACCAGCAGCCTCTCTGGAGGAAGAGATGATCTTAGCCCATCCAACTCCATTTCTCGTGGATCCTCCCCAGAGCCTACGAGACGGGAGGTGCCCAGCCAGAGGCAGTGAGCAGGCAGGACGGACGTATGCTGCAGGGACACTGGAGCGGAACCTCCGGGTGCCCCCGGAGCTGGGTCTAGAACAAGTGAAGAGAGAGCAGAGAGCAGAGAGAGAAGCAGCAGGGCATGGGCCAAGGCCCCAGGCTGGGAGAGAGCAGAGGGTCTGCCCCGCTTGCAGCCCATTCACTTTCCCAGCACTTGCGGCCGGACCAGAAGCCCCACAACCAGGGCACACCTGAGACGTCATTTCAGCCACTCACATGGGGCAGGTGGTTCTGCTGGCATTTCACAGGGGCAGAAGGGAGGCCCAGTTGGCTCCAGTGATGTGCCCACACTCAGTCGTTGGCAGGGCCAGGACCCCGTGGAGGTCTGACACCCAGGCCTGGGTTCCACCACACCCCCAACAGGCCTTCGGGGTCAGGAGGCGGAAGGACTCGGAAGGTTCAAACCAAGTCAAGCCCTATTAGCGGAGGGAGCCGCTGGGGAGAGGGGAGGGGACAGGTGTGGCTCAGGACCTCCAGCCCTGAGGCCCGCTCTGGTGTCCGGTCATACAGATGAAGAGGCAGCCCAGACAGGTAATGCACGAGCTCCCGACCACACAAGCAGGGAGGAGTGGAGCTGAATTCAAACATCGGTCTGGCCGAAATCCTGCACTCTGTCCCCTTCAGCACGCCGCCCAGAGGGCTCCGCGCCTGGTGTTCTGCCCTCTCCCGTAGTGCTCCCAGTAGACGGGGCTTGGGGGAGACCAAAGGAGGTCTCTTGGGCTGAGACAGCCATGCAGGGGCCTGTCTGAGAGGTGGGGTTCCCTAGATCAGACCCCTTCCTATTCCCCACCCCCACCAAGCCTTTATCTTCTCTGCTCCAAGAACCAAACAAACTGGGAGAGCTAGTTGTTCAGGAGGAGATGTGAGCTCCTAGGCCTCTGGGGGTGGCTGCATCCAGCCTGAACAAGGACCCCTTTGAGCTCTGCTGCCAACAAGAACACCTACCTACAGGGATCTCAGAGGCCCCTGGGCCTTCTACCCAACGGGAGCCGGGAGGGCCAAGAGCAAGGCTGGCCCCATCTCCCACTCTTGGCAACCAAGATGCTGCCCACTGCCCAGGCCTCTCTGTGGAGCCCAGAGCTGGTCAGCCAAGCCCTTAGCTGCTTGGTTGACTGGCCCCACCCCGGTTAAAGGACCCCAATTGCCCTCTTCCCTGCTCTAGGGCCTCCCACACACCCCCGCCATCCAGATCTGGGCTCTCGGGGTACACTAGAAAGGCCCAGGTCCTCACAGGGATGGAATTCAGGATCAAAGTGCTCAGGCTGACTTCTCTCAGGCATTTGGGAGCGTTACTAGTGAGCTGTCCTCCCGGCTCTGCTGGGTCCTGCTTAGCTCCTGCCCAAGGTGGAGACCTTCTTGCTCTTATCCCCCAACACCTCCGCTCCCCGAAGCCTGGCAAGCCTGTAGCTCCGGGAAGAGCAGACCCCTGCTCAGATATCTTCATTGCTGTACCACCCATTTAAGTGGCTGTCTCGCCACTAGACCCACTAGACCGTCTTCCTTATTCATCTCTCACCCCGGGGCTGCACACAGCTTCAGGCATGCAGTAAGTGCTCAGTAACTGTGTACTGAATAAACAAACACTCTCTGCTGAGAAGCTCCTCTGTGTAGTTTGTTCCACCGCACTGGGACTCAAGACACAAACACAAGACCTGGAGAGAGAGCAAGTCACTCAAGTTTGCTTTTCTCTGCCCTTGACCTCCTTCTGTGTGGTCCCCAGTCACCTTCCTCAGGGTCTGCTCCCCTATAAAATGGGGGGAAATCCCCTCTCTGACCTGCAGATCTTCAGGGCTACTGGGGGGGGGGTCTGAGAGGTCATGGCCTAGCCCTGGGGCCGATGGGGGGGTTCTCACAGCCTCGCCCCCCACCCCCCACGCCTGCCAGCAACACTGAAAACTCTACATCCCATCATGCCCCTTGAGGGATACCTAGAAGTGCAACCGCCCATGGGAAGCAGAGACTGAGGCCCCGCCAGGCCCCAAACGGCACCCACAGAGCTCCTGCATGACTGACTCTTCCCCTGGGACTACAGCCAGCAAGCCTCTGCCTGGACGGCCCTCTCTGCACCTGGGCCCCACCCAGGGACTGCCCCCCCACCCCGGCCCGCCGCGGGGGCCCAGGAGGCACTCCCACAGCTCAGCCCCCGCACGCTCAGCATCTCACCCCTCCTCCCCCAGAGGTCTGAGGCCAGCAGTTGCCGCCCCTTCCCGGCCAGAGCTCAGAGGCCCGCAGAGTGAGAACAGTCCCCAGGGAGGCAGACGGACAAAGAGCTGAAACATGGAAGCTCTGCTGCCGGGCACGGCCAGGATTTCTCGCGAAGCCCAGGCCACACCGAGGAGCAGGCGGTTGGTCCTGCGGAGAGTGACCTGCCTGTCGCTGGCCTCATCCCGCATTTCCACTGCTGTGGAAGCATCTGTTTAAGCTGGCACCCCTGGACCTGGTCACAGACCACTTTTTCTTGGCCGGCCACTTCGGGCCTGGCCATTTCCAGACAAGAAGCTGGTCATTCAGGTCGAAAAACAGACTTGCATTCATTAAGAAACAGAGCACTCCTGTGCTCCTGGGGGGGCTACTCTCTGCCCAGCCTGCTGAGGGAGGGCCCACAGGCCGCCCGGCGCTCAGCCGCCCCCCACCCCCGCCCAAGGCTACCAGGGGGCGTGGCTACTCTCGGGACAAGCCCGCTCTGTCCATCCACGGATACCATCCAACGCACCCCAATTCCAACCATCCCCTAACACCCACCTCAGAATCACGCTGACTTTGTGGGCCCTCCAGGCTCTTCTCAGGGCACGGGTCTGGTTGGAAGGAGTCTAGGGTCCTGAAAGAGGCTGGGGGTGGGGGCCAGAAGACAGAGAGGCAGGCGTGGAAGTACCTGTCACTGCTGAGGGGGCTTGGAGAAGCCACTCCCCCTCTCTGGGCCTCAGTTACTCTCAGCGAAGGGGCAAGAAAGCCTCAGCCCAGGAAGGAAAGCAAGTGTTGTCTGAGGAAGAAACAAAGCAGAGCTAGGAACTGGGTGAACTGCAAATGGCCACTGACCCTCCTGTGGTCAGAAGAACCCCCTACCCCAGGAGAGGCTAGCAGGGTCACAGTCCTCAAAGGGCTGCCAGCCTCCCTGCCTCCCTCCTACAAACACCAGCTGAACGTCTGCAGTTCACTCAGCTCCGTGTAAGTGCTGTGTGTACTAAGAGGGATAAGGCAAGCTACTATCCCCAAAATGCCTGGTGGGAGAGGCAGACATGAAACGAATATTTATATAAATCAATACATAATTATAACTATGTCATCTATGCTACGAAAGAAGAGCCCAGCATCCTAGTTGGACCTCTATCAGGGAGTCCTGACTCAGCCGTGGAAAGCAGAGAAGCTTTCCCTAAGTAGTGGCATTTTGAGCTGATAGCCAATGGGTGCTAATCAGATGGGGGAGGGTATTTGGAGGGAGTTAGAGAGGGGTCATTGGAGAGGGTTTATGATGGATGTGCAAAGGCCCTGAGGCCAGAGGTGTGTAGCATGTATGAGGAACATAAACAGAGCCTTTGTGTCTAGAGGGTAGAAGTAGTGAAGTGGGGAGCAACGAGGCTGGAGGGGTTGGCAGGGCTAGATCATGCAGGGCCCTGTGCACCCCAATAAGGGTTTCTTTCATTTTCTTAAAAGCAGTGGGGAATCAATAAGGGGATTTAAACAGGGAAATACACTATCAACTTTGTATCTTTTTTTTTCTTTTAAAGATTTTATTTATTTATTTGACAGAGACAGACAGCGAGAGAGGGAACACAAGCAGGGGGAGTGGGAGAGGGAGAAGCAGGCTTCCCGCCGAGCAGGGAGCCCGATGCGGGGCTCGATCCCAGGA